TCTCACATCAAACAAACCCCCCCCCCAAAAAAAGTTTTGTGTTTGTGTTTCTCCTGAAATGGTTTCCTGACAATTAAATGTTAGTTTTCCTCACATTGCAGATGCAGGTGACACACTCGTTCTCCTTGTCTGTCCATCTCCGGCCGTTTGACACGCGGGTTTGGTTGCCCTCTAATACACACTCTGAGACACACACATATACTGATGAGCACACATGTACAGCGTTGCACTGTTTCTGATAGAGAGACTCTTTACCATCACAGACGGGGCAGCAGGAATCCGGCGGTGTGTGCTGATCGGCCGGAGGGCAGCTGAGAGGAGCACAGCCCCGATGGATACATGTCCACGTCAAATCCTACACAAACACATTACTCATACAGTGGTGTGAAAAAGTGTTGGCCCCCTTCCTGATTTCTTATTTTTTTGCATGTTTGTCACACTTTAATGTTTCAGATCATCAAACAAATGTAAATATTAGTAAAAGATAACACAAGTGAACACAACATGCAGTTTTATCAACGCACATGGCTTTTTAAAACAGTAGTGTGTGTGTTTATATACCTTGCACTGACAGGTAAAACACGGATCATCAGTGGCCAACACTTCATTACCGATCAGTGTAGCTGTGCAGTTACTGAGGGGCTCTGAAACACAAACCACAAGAATAAAACTATCATCCTATAAGAACATTAATTTTAAAATCAAATGATCTGGAGAAGCTGAACTAGGATTTAAAATTAGGACAGTCGTGTTTTGGGTTAATAATGGTGTAGGTTGCTTATTTTGGTATAAAATATATTAATTGTTTTAAGTGACTAAATGTTTATGTAATTTATGTGATTATTTAAGCGTCTTGCATTGCAGTTTTGCATTTACTTATACTTTTCAGATCAATAAAATGTAAAAAATCCAATGAATTAATCAAGTGATCTTAAAAAGGACTTAAAAGATCTTTGTTTAGAAGACATGCCATATTTAATTTGACATAAATAAAGTATGGTTTGTTCAATATGGGTCACTGTTGTGAAGATGATTCAAAGTTTGACATTTTAAAAATTAGATTCAATTAGAAAATTAGAAAAGAACATGGACAGGACAGTGAATAAATTTAACTGAAATACAAACTTATTTTTATCACCTCAAATGAAATAAAAAATAAAATGAAATATAAAAAAATATATTTCTAATAATAGAAATTAAGAAAGAAAAACTAAATATAACAATTAAACTGATCAGAGTTATTTTAGTATTATTTATATACTATTACAGTATTCATTAATACTTTAAATTGGCTATTATTTTGCTATTTTCAGTTTTATTTTTTATCATTTTAGTTTTGTCATATTTATTAGTTTTTCTTATGCTTTTTATATGTATTTTTATTATGTTTATTCATATTTATATTTAGCTTTAATTTTATTTAAGCTTTAGACTTATTATTTAGTAAAAGTTATTTTAGTATTTCAACAAACTTAAAAAGCTAAAATTTGTTAAATGAGTATAAATTTCATCAATTATTTATATTTTATTTAATTTGAGCTTTATTGCAGTTACAGAAATCATTTCAACAAGGTTCAATTCGTACCATTAGTTAATGCATTAGGCATCATTAATGTTAATTTCTACATATACTAGTACATTATTAACATTTCAAGTTCTATAAATTAACATTAATGTGTTATGAACAAACATAATTTATAATAAATATGCTTTTGTTCATTTTTCATTTGGTTTTGCTACCAATTAATATGTGAGAATAAAGAGACTAAGGAGTGATAAAACTAGCAGTGCAATGGAAAGCATCTGCTGACAGCAGTGTTCATACTAACGTGCACAGACAGGGCAGCAGGAGTCAGAGCCACTGTATAGGATGTTGTGTTTAGGACAGTCCACCAGACTTGGGCACTGCTTCCTGTAACAGCGCAAGTGCTGTTCCCCGTCTGGCATCACCTACAACACACACACACACACACACCCGTAAGGCAAGAAAAACAACACATGCACACATCATGTTGTGATGAGCCGTACCTCACAGATGCAGATCTGACAGGGGTCATCAGAGGGGTGGAAACTCTCTCCAGGGCCGTACACACGGCCTTCATACACACAGTCTGACAGAAGAAAAACACACATTTCAAACTCAAGACCTTCAAAGCAAAACTATGCATGCACGAAACTGTTTGTAGGGATTGTAGTTGTACCTGCACACACTGGGCAGCATTCGCCCGGCACGCTGATCTGGTTTAGACAGGTGGACAGACAGTAGACCTCTGAGCAGGTGGTCACTCCATTCACACACATGCAGGACATGCAGGGACTGCTGGATGCAAACCAGGTACTGCCTTCAAGGTGCTCAACGTCATCATAAATACAGCCTGAAAAACAGAGAGAGAGACGGATTACATTAGTAGCACTTATTTTAGTCAAAGTGTGATCTATACATAAAATTGATAAGTTTATATAATATACATACATACATACATACTAGGGTTGTGCAAATAATCGAATGCGATTTTCATGCGCATCTCGTCAGTAAAGCC